AGAGAAAGGAAACTGCATGTGGCAAAACTGTGTTCATCCAACACTGTCAGTGTAATAAAAGCAGCTGTTTGACATATAGGTGCTTCAATTTGCTGTTAATTGCAGTATTACAGCATTGCAATTAATTTTGGGGTTGTAACATCTGAACACACAATAATTGTCCAGTTGAAACAAACTGACATTTTTCTGTCTTTAAACTTAGATAAACATACTGTTGATCTAAGAGTTGATACATTTATCACAAAATTTGGTTTTTATATTCTCAAGCATTTACTCTCTTTTGCACTCTACTTTTTTCTTTTATACTTCCCCCTCTCTTGTCATTAATGGTGTTTTATGCAATTCTTGGCAACAATGTTGCAAGTTGCTGACACTGCATCTGCAAATATCACAGTTTGGGGAAACAGAGACTTACGTAGAGTAAAAAACAGAGCAATGATGGATAAAAGAGAGAAAGTTGGCAAGAGACGGGACTTTAAATCAGCATTCATGCAGGCACTGCTTTCAGTTTGTTCAGTTTAATCTGACTTGATTAAGATCATACCACACTTTATGAGTACTCATATAGAAATGCTGGTTGTACTAAACAGCAACAATGTACCAATTTAATGGACATAATGTGTCAGCAATGTACAGACACTCAGCTTTTCTTCCAGCTTTGGTCAATATATTTTGCTTGTCTGTCCTACTTGTAATGAAACTAAAATATATCTCAGTTTCTCTTAAAAAAGTTCAAGTTCTTTTCTTCGGCTGTGTGAAGTCTTGTTATATCTTCAAAAACATTATCTTTATGAATTATACATACATACATACATACATATATACAAATGAGAGATATATATATATATATATCATTTATGATGGGAGAAATTTTTCTTTGCTGAAATCTTTGTTGCAATAAAAACATGAAGGACTGAGAAATTTACAGTGGTCTGTTGGTATGTTCAGAGTTTAAGGTGTGGGTTTAGCTGCCACCTGCTGGTGTGTCAGGGCTTTGTCTCGTGTTTTCATGCACAAGACATACAGACTAGAGACTGGCAAATTCTGTCTGTAAACAGATTTGAAGAAGGTTGACTGGCTGAAGTCTTTCTGTGTGGAGCCTGCATGTTCTCCCTGTGCCTGCGTAGGATCTCTTCAGGCACGCCAGCTTCCCCCTGCAAGCATGTCTAAAGACATACTTGTTAGGTTAACTGGTGATTTTAAATTGGTCAAAGGTGTGAAGGTGGGAGTGAATGCTTGTCTTTCTGTCTGTGTTAGTCCTCTGACGGCTGGAATAAGCTCAAGCCTCCTAGTGACCCTGAACTGAACAAATAGTTAAGAATATGGATCGAAGGATATACTTGTATGTGTGTGCGCAAAGCACTCTGCAAAAGCCCTTTGTTCTAAAAGTAAATAGAGATTGCCTTCAAAACTATTTAAAATTCCAAAAGTGAAGTTATTTATGAATTAATGTCATATTAAATGAATAAAAACTACATTATATCTACATTTATTGTGCTGGCCTTCAGCACAACAGCAGCTTTCCTAATTCAAGCATCTTGGGGAGCTTGTCATAGTCTTTCTGTGAATTTAGTGCATCTCTCTCCTGTTTCTTCACATGGTCCTCGATGATGTTGATCGCTTTTCCTTCTTCTCCTCATCATCAATTCATAGCATTGTTGTTTTGCTTCAAATTTTTTGGGAGACAATTTTGATTTCTGCACGTCCTGTTTATTTATGATGTAGAAACCATATTTTAGTTTGTGACTGGACACGCAAACTCAAGAGTCCCAAGTTAAAACTTAAACATGGATAGTCATATCAAAGATTCTATTCAAGAGAATTAATTGTGTCTCTCTCCTCTCATCTTAGCGGTGTCAAACCTCGACATAGAGAGCAAGCTGTCGGTTCACTATCAGGCTCCATGGCACCAGCAGCACAATGTATTTCATCCTTGCACCCGACCGCCGTGTCTGGAGGAGCTGCACAGAAATGCTCAGCTCAGTCTCAGAGCTCTGCACCGAGGTGAGAGAGGCAAAATCAGGGGCAAAGTTGCATTATGTACAAAGTATGGATTGGAAATTTGTACTCGTGTGTTCGGTTTTCACAGATGAACAACAGCGGCAGCGGTCCACGAGTCGGGAGAGAAACAGGGTGACCATCTCTATCTCAGTGGCGCCCCCCATGCCCACCTTCCCTTCGCCCCACACCATCCGGCGGCAACAGAGGAGTCGCCTGGCAAGAGCGGTAAGGATGACTCACTGAGAGTAACATGAACTAAGAGTATGTTACGTTTAACAAACAGGGTGGAGTTAAGATGCGGTTCACTGTAAATGACAGCAACTACACCAGGGACTTCCCTTGCTTCATAAATCCTCGTTTAGGACTGTGCATCTTATCAGTGGTCAGTTAATATCTGTAGCAAAAGTTGTGATAAAATTTGGTATTTGGCATCAGTATCTCCAAGATTCTTCTTCAGTCAAATGCATGTATTTTGATATTGCACCTTAACACTTATTGTTGACTCCTGTAAAACAAAATAAAAGGAGATAATATTTTCATATACTTACGATGTCAGAGTTCCACCTCCCTCCACCCATATTTTGATTGCGATTCCTATGCAACACAAGTAATCAAACACACAATAAAGAAAGTTAGAGATTAATTTGATTGATATAATTTTTGCTGCAATCACATATTTTTATAGCCTGATAAAATTATCATTGTGAGTTATTTTGGCCATGATAGTTGTGTAAACCCGTCTTAAAACAATTCTGCCGTGTGCCTCCAAGTGGGAGAAACTACTCCATGCTCTGAACCAATATAATGTTTGCATTTGTGAATGTTGTGTGTGGAGCTCACAAAACATAGCTTTTAAGGGAACTAAAAATACTCCTAATAGAACTCTCAGGTCAGCTGATAAGTCTAGTTGTCCCTAGAAGCAGACAAAAAACCAGAGGAGATCGGGCCTTTGCGATCGCTGCACCCAAACTTTGGAACAATCTGCCTCTTGAAACTAGGATCTCTTCAACACTTGACATTTTTAAAAAGCTGTTTAAAAACACATAACTTAATTGCGACTGAGTTTAGTTCTTTGTGTGTGTTTGATCTACTTTTTACTTTTTTGTCATGACAAAAAAAAAAACCCAGAAATGGTTAGGAATGTATTCAAAGCTGCTTTATTATTTTAAATAAATAAAACAGAAAAGAAACCCTACTGTCAAAAACAAACAGTGGTAAGTGTAATCAGTACCATCAGTAGTGTGTGAAGGAATGAATGAGTGGAACATGATGCATCTAATAGTGTCAAAAGTAAAACACCAAACCTAACGCAGCCAAAGTCCAACCTGGTGTCTCAGAGCCAACCAAAACTATGCCCTAAAGGCTTTTTATATAGAGTCCTGGCACACTGGCCCAGGTGTTGCCAGTGTCACTGATTGTAAATGGGAACTCTGCCTGTCCAGTGCCTGCAAACAAGACACACATGAGCCAAAAGGAAGGCAGGGTGCAGTGGGTCATCACAACTATGTACAGCACTTTGGTCAACCTGTATTGTTTTTAAATGTGCTTATAAATGGTAAATGGCCTGTATTTGTATAGCGCTTTACTTAGTCCCTAAGGACCCCAAAGCGCTTTACACTACATTCATTCACCCATTCACACACACGTGATGGAAAGCTACACTGTAGCCACAGCTGCCCTGGGGCACACTGACAGAGGCGAGGCTACCGGACACTGGTGCCACCGGGCCCTCTGACCACCACCAGTAGGCAACGGGTGAAGTGTCTTGCCCAAGGGCACAACAACGAGACTGTTGTTCTGATTATGAAGACGAACTGCCAACTCTTGAGCCACGATCGCCCACATAAATATTTATGAATAAATTGATTGATTGATATGAAATCAGAAAATTGCTTACTTTGAATTCTGTGTACAGGTGACAATAAGCTGCTTAGATAAGCTTAAAGTGTTTCCTTAACTGGTTCAAATTGCCATGTGGTGCTGTTGGCACAACTTTTTGTTGGTTTTTATGAAATCTGTACTTCGTGTCTTCCAATAAAATGATAAAATATCTTATTCTAACTTTTGCATGCAGCAAGAGAGAGCAGAAAGGGAGCGAGACTTAGACTATCAACCCAGGAAGGTAAAACAGAAATTTGTTTGTGATTTTTCTATTGACACATGCTAATGTGAAATTTATGTTATATGCACATTTGTGCACAGTTAAGGCTGTGTGTCTGGAACTATATGTTATCATGCTACATCTTTTATACCACTTCTATTTTTTTTAATTGCTTTGGAACATTTTTGTGTAGAGGTTGTGTGTTTTTAATTACACTCGCTCTACTCTTTCTTGTTTCGAAAACTCTTGAAGGAGAGGCCTGTGAAAGAATCAGAAATCCAGACCATACAGAGAAAAGTAAGAAAGAACATTTAAACTTGGCCAAAAATTGATCATTTTCAGTCCTGACAGACTTTACAACATTTGCCTGTGTGTGTAAAAAAAAAATGCTTGCTTTTATGTGCGTGTTTCTTTCTACTACAGGAGAGGCCAAGAGAAGCAGATGTTCAGACGATCCAAAGAAAGGTAAGAAAGATGTGATGTGACTTACCTGACATCTGATGTCAAATATTTGTACACCTTTTTTCTTTTTCTTTTTTTACAGCTTTTATGTTAGGAGATAAATGCAGGATTGTTACTATATAACATATGTTTAAAAATTTCCTGGGTTGTGGGTTGAAGAACGGGAACATGTAGCAGCATCGATTAAATATCTGTTGGGGAGAAAAGGTTGAAAAGAGTGCACTGCCTTGTTCAGTTGTCACCTTTTGATTTTCCTTTAATCTTTTTATTTGGAATTATTTTAAATCTTTTGGATTTCACATGTCACTTCATCGACTTAATTAATTTATTTTTTGTTATATTTTGTGTTCTTAGTTTGAGTGCTTTTACTCACTTCACCCTATTGAAAGTTGCATCTTCATTCCATGGAATAGAAAGGTACCAAGCTTTTTCATTTTGATTTCTTTAATTTTCCTATCATATTACTTGTTTAGTAGTTTGAGTCATTCAGCTACAGCTTTCAGTGTGGAGTACTTTGAATTAGACTTAGCTATTGCATAGATTCATTGGACACTTCATTATGTACGCCTTACTAGTACTGGATTGGACACTTTTCCCCTCAATTCTTCATATCATAGATTCAACATGGTGCTGAAAACATTCTTCAGAGGTTTTGGTCTGACAAGATAAACTCACAGTTGCTACAGATTTGTCAGCTACATATCCAGGATGTAAATCTTCTGTGCCACCACCACATCCCAAAGGTGATCTATTAGAATGAGATCTGATGACTGTGGGGGTCATTTGAGTACAGTGAACTCACTGTCATGTTCAAAAAGCCAGTTTGAGATGATTGGCACTTTGTGACATGATATGTTATCATGCTCAAAGCAGCCACCAGAAGATGGGTACACTTCTGTCACCAACAACCATATCACATTCAAAATCACTTCCCCATTCTGATTCTTGAATTTCATCTCTGTTGGGTAATTTTGTCAATGTCTACAAACCTAAATATCTTGAGTTGCTGGCATGTGATTGGCCGAATAGATATTTGTGTCATTCATTATTTGAATAAAGTGTACCTAATGAAGTGCCCATGAGTGTATATGATATTGTTAGAGAAATTGTAAAAAAAAAAAAAAAAAAAAAAAAATCACCTCAACAATGTAAGTAGTTACTGTTAATCTGTAACTTTCTTAAATTAAATCCTAACACACATTTAATGCTACCAATCTCTGCCTGTTTCTTACAGGCTACCTCTACAGGGGAAGGTGAAGGCGGTGAGGTCTTGGGAAGCAACAGAGCCCAGGCCTCAGCTCCCAGTGCACCTTCAACCCAGGATAAGCAGACAAACTGGTCAAAGGAAAACGTCCCACCATCAGATCACAAGTCATCTGGCGATTCTCATGCTATCTCTTCCTGTATCATCCCGATCAATGTCACAGGTAAGTTAAAGAAGAAAGAGAAAATAAAGTTGAAAAATAAACAGCATTTAAATCAGTTTATATTCTGAAACATATAATGCACAGGCCTTATTCGGTATGTGCTACAGCTCATTCATGGGCTGTTACTGTTAAACATATCTGTTCTGTTATTTGTAAATGTTGAAATCATAAGCTTTAATAGCTTAAGCTCTATTTAAGAACTACATACAGACTACATAGTTACTAGTAAATATGATTTTCAACACTGTTTTAAAGTACACGTTTGCACAGTCACTAAAAGAGGAAAGGGCAGTACTTTTACCATTTGCAATAGGTCAAACGCTTTAAACCGCACATTAATAGCAATAATAGGAACTTTTAATTGTAAACACAGAAATTAAGATGCAACTGAAGTGGCAAAGAAATATATTGCCTCAAAGGAAAGAACAGCCACACCTGCTGTTTGCAGCAACTACTTGCAGCCTTTTACAACTATCACGGTTCTTTGGCCATACCATGCACATGTCTGGAAAGATTCCCCTTACTCTGCAATCTGTTGTGACCATCATTCACCCATAGTTAATGGTGTAGAATCGTACCGGATAGAAAATAAAAACTTGACAATTCTTATGGCTTAAACCCTATGGTGACTATTAAAACGCATGTGTAAGGAGCATATGAACGTGCAAATGTTAGATTCTATTTACATGCATAGAAAAGGTGTAACTGGCCTTGATTGTGCAGTTTCTATATACACATACACAGAAAAAGAAACAGTACATTTTATTTGAAGTAAATATTCTAATCAATTGCCATATAGATGTTGTGAATCTTGGTACCCTAGGCAGTTTATAGGGTAAGTTTAATCAAGATTGAACCAGTCATCTTGGAGGACTTCAGGAACAAACATACAGCCTATGCCAAAATCATTATAGCACGATGATGATGATGATGACTTTGACTGGCCTTTAGGACCGTCAGGACCCAAACAGAGACTTTCTCATCTAGATATTCCCAAACCTGGGATCATACCAGATAGTTTCTTTAAAAAGATTATTAAACAACATTTTATATATACATTGTTGTTATTACAGGAGTTGGGTTTGACAGGGAAGCAAGTGCTCGATGCTCTCTAGTCCATTCTCAGTCAGTTCTTCAGAGGAGAAGGAAGCTAAGGAGGAGGAAAACCATAACAGGAATACCCAAAAGAGTACAGCACGATATGGGTATGTTATAATAAAATCCTTCTCACATAGTATTTTACTATACTATGTATTTTTGTACTTTTGGCAATAAAAAAGATGACATGTATTTTTTTGCAAACAGCTAATTTGGTTCTCCATTTTTAAAGAGGCTTAAATGTGAATTATTTTGATCATGAGTTAAAAAAAACTTCACAATTATGTGTAAAGTTTAAAGATGCGAGCCAAAAGGATATTAAAAAACAAAGTTGTTGTTTATTTAAGGGTTCGTCTTCCTGCGGGGTTGTTTGTGGATATCACGTTCTGAAGAAAAACTCAGATGAAAAAATTAGCGCAGGATATTTCCGAAAGTAAAGACACTTTGATTCTTTGCTTTCAGATTCCGATGAATCACCTGTGGCAAGAGAGCGCACAGTGATTATCCATGCCAATCCACATCAACTCTCGCTCTGTCAGGAAGAACTCTCAGTCAGTGGTCGCCTCCATCACACTCGTGACTCTGGCTGCCAGACAGATGATTTTCTTATAGCATGTAAGTTTCTGATACTGGAGGAGGTTCTTTAGGGTGAGCACTTTTACCACACATTACAGCACGGTTCCTCCTTGATTAATCTACTCTGTTTTCAAAGACCCTCTAGATCCCATTGCATGAAAATTATCTCGAAGCTGCTTATCTACTTTCATCCCTAAACGTGATTATTTGATCTGGAATTATAATCAATTTTTTTTTGCAGTTACAATCTACAGGCCACATGCATTAAGAAATATCTCCATCTGTTCCCCTCTCTCTTTTCTGTTTTTTCATTTTCAGGTACAGCTGCTCCCTCCAGAAGGCGTATTAGAGCTCAGCGAGGCCATCAGGGAATTCCTGCCTCTTTGTCCCATTCAACAGGAAATATTTCTTCTCTTGGTGACCAGTCAGACTCAACATACACCACAGCTACATCCCATGGTGGGCGATTGCGCTCCCGTAGCCTTCCACGAGAGGGTGGACGTCTGATGGATAGTGATGAGGATGACGATGACAATTATGACGATGATGATGAGGATGAAGAATTGTCACCTTACGAAGCAGAGGACTTTATTCCAGCTGGCCCCAGTCCAAGAATGAAGATGATGATGATGAAGGATGAAGAGGAGAGCACAGATGACCAAGCAGCTCCAGAGCCGCTACAACTTGGAAGCCTAAAAAGGCTGCAGCGAACTGGGGAGAGAGACAGAGGAGGTGGAGGAGGTGGAAGCCCAGAGCATAGCTGGATGGAGAGGGGTCGTTCACGGTTACCACGCAAGGCTGACATGGGCAGCTGCGAGATCTCGTCAAGCTCAGATACTTTTAGTAGCCCTATTCATTCAGTGTCTACAACAGGAGTCTTAGGCAGCCATGTGGATCACAAAGAAGACCACCAGTCATCCAGCGGGAACTGGAGTGGTTCTAGTTCTACCTGCCCCTCACAAACATCTGAAACCATCCCACCACCCTCTTCTCCACCATTGACAGGCTCATCCCACTGTGATTCAGAGCTGTCACTCAACACCGTGCCCAATGCTATTGATGAGGGATTCTCCCTCGATCCCTCATATCACTCTGACCTCAGACCCCAAGGCCAGGGTCACAGATCAAGCTCATTCACATCCTCAGCCACAGACCAGCTGGATGATGCAGGGGTCAGTACAGCCAGTGAAGGAGAGTGGACATACCCTCCAGACCAAGATCAGACTGACCAAGATCAAGACCCTGACCAGACCCAAAACCTGAGCAAGAGCCATGGGGTAACCCAAGAGTACAGCTCTAAACATAGCCTTGAAGACCAAGCTGGCTTCAGTGACAAAACGAGCAACACTGAAACAGAGCCTGGCTCTCATTACCCATCTGATACAGAAAGTTTCTATTCCTCCTCTGTGCATATCAGAGAGTGTAATCAGAGTTATAGAGGATACATGTATAACTATGCAGACCAAGGGCCTGACTGTGGTCAGTCCAACACTGTGGCAGCACCACTATCACATGGAGTTTACCCTGAGCCCTCAGCTGACTTCAGAGCAGGCACTCTAACCCTGGGGAGGACATCTCGTTCATTGAGGAAACCGAAAGTAAAACCTCCACCACCCAAACGAACCTCCTCACTAAAGGAACCCAGTGGTAGTGTTGATGTCGGAACGGACACACAGGCAGATCAGGATCAACCAAAGATGGTTATTGAGCAGGAGCTTACTTTGTCTTCCACAGATATGAAGCTGGAACTGGACCTAGAGCTTGGAGTTGCTCCAGAACCATTACAGACATCCTGTTTAGTGGCAGAGCCTTTGGGAACATGGGGAATGGGACTGGGGGAAACCGTGGACATAGTAGAGCCCATGTCTTTCAGCTCTGCAGATACACACTCATTTAAAGATGAAGGTGCTGTGCAATCTGACTATGCAGACCTTTGGCTTCATAACAGTGAACTGAAGTCCAACAATGGTGAGTACACATCCATGTCCAACTCAAGCACCGCCACAGGCACTACTGTCATGGAGTGTATCAAGTCACCAGACAGCTCTTCCTCTTCCACAGAAACCCAAACCCAGGCCCCTACCCAGGCTTCAGACACCGTGGCAACTAGTTCACCACTCCCACCTGAAGACTTCAAACTAGGGTCTCCTGAGAAACTGGCTGGTCTGGCTTCACCATCAAGTGGTTATTCCAGCCAATCAGAAACACCTACATCAACCCTGCCCACATCTTCGGCAGCATTTTTCCCTGGACCATTGTCTCCTTCAACTGGCAAGAGGAAGCCCAAAGTGCCAGAGAGGAAGTCTTCTCTCGCTTCCCTGCAGCATTTCCCCAGAGATGGAGCTTCCATTTCCTCTTGCTATAAGAGAGACCCAGACTTTCCACCTCCACCTTCTCAGCTGGATCTCAGTATCCTTCATGGTGGCTATGTCAGACACACGTTATCCCACCGGACTTACCACATGCACACATTGCACCATAGCAAACACAGAGCTGCAAATGTTTTAGCCACTGGCACAAAGATGTTGGCTCCTGAAGCATCAAATACCAACCCACCACCAAGTTCAAACTCTACATTAACAATTCCTAGTTCAAATCTGTCAGCGATAACACCATCTGCTCTTCGATCAGTGCAGCTTCATTCTGTTAGCCAATCTGCAGATCCACAAATTACTTACACTACAGACCAGGAAACACCAAGTGTAACAGAAACTGCTACAAGACCCAAATGTCCTCCTAGTGCTTCTACTCTGGCTCCGCCACCTCCTAACACTAGGCCTCTCCCTCCTCGCAGACCTCCTCCTAGACCACCAGGTCACGAGCACACCTTCTCCCCTGAGCATGCACAACCAACACCTCCTGGCCGTCATCCTGATGGGCCTCCATCTTATGAAAGCCTGCTACTTAGACAGGACCGCTATGGACCTGGAACTTTCTGGGCTATGACTGCCTTCCGAACCCGAATGGACCCATCATCAGACCTCTCTGAGGACAGCTCACCTGTGCATCGACCTGTCCCACGTGCTCCCCATCCATCTCCCGTGGATCTACACACACATATCCATTCTCATAGAGAGTTCAGAGGGCTCACCCACTCATCTCGTGCACATCCTGAGTTTAGGGTTTTAGGAGAACGCTCCTTCTCCCAGGATGATGATGATGATGAAGATGAAGAGGAGGAAGAGGAAGAGCACGTGAAAGAACCCCCTAGACCTGTATGTCCCAGAGGAGGTATCCGATCAGATCATCCTCCACCCCCAGCATATGAGTTTGCTGGGGGATCCCACTCAGACTCAGGGCCCTGGGCTAGTCCAATCAAAGTGCCTGGTACCACAATGGAGACATTGCATTCTTACCTAATCAGTGACCCAAGAAATAGAGGACACGAAGAACAGGAAGAAGAGGAGGAAGTGACATCAGGTGCTACCAGAAGTGCCCAGCAACAACAGCCACAGGAAAGCAAAGATGACTCCACGACTCCTGACACTGAGGATTACTTCAGTAAAGGTATGTTTCTAAACAAAATACCACTTCCAGAAGAAGTAGGGTATTATTTTGTAAAAAATAAAGAAAATCTCACAAAATGCCATGATGTTTATTAATATTAAGCTGTTTTATCACAAAACAACATTAAAATTCTAAAAAAAAAAAGGTAGTTTAAGGGATGGCTATTTCATCGACTGCATACTAAGTGATCAGACAGCCAGATGACATGTGTTAGGGATGTTGTGTGCTACAGATTCCACACCCAGTGATAATTCGCTCTCCCCTCTGATGGATGACACCAAAGTGGATGATGACATCATTATCACGTCACCCAATAAGACCCGGACAACTGAGGACCTGTTTGCCATGATACACAGGTACTGGTCAATATATTTAATTACAATGGTCGTGTCCAAATTCATGGGCTGCATCCTCCTGAGGACCCGGCCTTCGCAGTCTACGTGGGTCGGGTCATCAGAAGGTTGGGTAGGCCGGACGTAAACAGCTGGGGGAATTGGACGGTCTAGCCTTCTGATTAGCGTCAGCACTGTCTCGGTGGAGTTTAATAAACTCAGCCGTCTGCTCCTTGCTATTTAAAATATAACAGGACACTGGCGTAAATTCTCGACCGTCTCATACTTCTGTTTAATCAGTTTTCTGTTTGACGTTTAGTCAGCTGTGTAAAAACCAAGGAGGAACCCACCCGGGGGATTAATAAATTTTTATTTTATCTAATCTAATCTAATAACTTTAATCTCAGCCAAACCAATTTACTCACAAACAAATAAAACACTGAAAAAAGCCCAACAACAACATTTTTAGGTTGTCTAAGTGACTTATATATTATGTTTAACCTGAGTAGCGAAAGTCCGCGGTGATCTGAAAATGATGTGCCAGGAGTTGTGCCGTTCTCGGCGGCATCAGTGACCCTCGAGCTCCCGGCTAGCTATCAAGCTGGTGGGTAGCAGACGTCTCCGAAAACGTCGAAGCACTTTTGCAAATATGCGATATCTTGATAAACCGAGCAGATATTTGATGTTTACACAGCTACTTTCTTGCCTGAAAATATGTTAAAAGTTTATTTTGTGACCCAGAAAGATTAGTATGAGTAATTTTAAAATTGCCATTGTTGGAAACTGGAGTCTGGCTGGGCCGCGCTATGAATTCTGGGATATGGTAGGCCACGAAGGACACACCCGACCCATCCTTCAAAATCGGGGAAAAGGAGGACGCATTTGTCGGCTGCATTCGTAGGAGTCTATGAATTTGGCGTCGCTGTGACGTAATCGGTCTACAAATGCGGCCTCAGGAGGATGCAGCCCATGAATTTGGACACGACCAAAGTCTATGCAGTGTTTGTAATATATCTATTTTCTAGATTATTTTTTGTACTGACTCTGCTACATGTTTATGTTTTCTGTTTATTCCTTGTCTGGACTTTAATTGTGACTGTATTGTGATTTCCTTATTTAGATCCAAGAGAAAGGTCCTGGGTCGTAAAGATTCTGGCGACTTAAATGCTAAGTCTCGTCTCTGCCCTCCAGTACCAGTGACCCCCAGCAATGTGCCCACCGTCATTATCCCTCCAGCACCTCCTCTCAACATTCCAGCTACCTTAGCCACTGCTGTTGGGTCACAACGAGCCCCTGTGCCAATCTATCGCAGCGCCAAGAAATCAAGTACGTCGAACGAGGAATTTAAACTCTTGTTGCTAAAAAAAGGAAGCAGGACTGATTCCAGCTATCGCATGTCAGCTACAGAGATTCTGAAAAGCCCTATTACCCCTAAAACACCAGGGGAGTCTGTCCAGGAAGGCCCCATTAGACAGGGAGAGGAGCCACCCTCTACGCTCCAGGAGACCCCCATTTCTGGCCTCGACCCAATCCAGATACCAGGTCTTTTTCCCAGGGCCAACTCTGAGAGTTTTGCATCGAAAACCCTGCCTATGTCGGCTGCATCTCGACAAGGACGTTCTCGGATACCCCCTGTAGCCAACAGTAGTCGCTACAGTACACGCAGTCGCCTCTACACAGCCCCCATGCAAGCCATTTCTGAAGGGGAGACCGAGAACTCAGATGGGAGCCCCCATGATGACAGATCATCCTAAAGCCACCCAATGCGTGATGTCCTCTATTCTTAGCTGTGCCCTGCATTTCAAACAGCCCCTTCTACTTTTCTTGGATGGCTGTGTCATCGAGGCCAATGGTGTAATTCTTACGACACACAAAATCTGACTGTTGCAGAAATAAATCCGGTTGTGGATATTTTATTCTATAAAAAGGTGTCAAACTGTTGTGAGGATTTGAACCATAAAGGTTATGAAAAACTATGAAAAAATAGTGTATTAAATAAATAATTCCCTCATCAAAAAAAAAAATGCAAGACTTATTTTGATTGAACTATCTTTTTAAAAAAATAACGAAAGAAAGAAATAACGAGTTCAAAATGTTTGAAAAATTATAAAAAGAAATTTTGTGGAGTGTAGACAAGGTGCGTTTGTGTTTGCATGAGCAAGCACATGCAACATCCACTGATATTTCTACTTCTTGTGTTGTGAATGATGTGGGTGTGTGTATGTCATTGAGGAACTGCTTTCTTATTCAATTTAAAAATTCTTATGACAATTAATATTCTTTTAACTTGTGGTGCCCAAAGCATCAACTTCCTAGACTCCATATTCAATATTCCTGCCAACCAGCAAGGTTTGTCTCATTGTGGAAGTTATCTCTCAAAACAGCATTGACTTATTAGACTGGATTTCCATCTGCAGACCTGGCATAGAGAGTATATCACACAGAGCCAATCATATATTTCTTCACATAAATTATATCCAAAAAGATGACATGATGCATGTATTTTTGTAAAATTGCTTCTCAGAACATGATGATAAAGTTTCACCATGTTGCATGAACCTATATGGAAACATCCCCTGGATCCTGGTTTCTGTTGACATTTTTGTGGTTCTTTTGTATTATATGAATCTTTCTCTGCAGAAAGATTTGGTTGACATTTGTACCACATTGCCGGTGATCTAAACTGATTCGTCTTGGATTTGAGTGTTTAATAAGAAGGAGCAAGGGCTTGCGCCTATTTGTCTAAGATACATGCTAATTCTGGACAATCGCACAGTGGCCTTTCTCTACCAGAGGTGGTTTTAAGCAGGGAATTTGTAAATCTCTGCATGTATACATGGAGCTGTGCCATGTTTCACCAAAAGTCAACCATGAACCCAACCCTGAAATCTAGTATGCTTAGACTGATTAAAGATTTTCCAGCTGCTGGCCAGTCTTGCTGTGCTGACTTAAGTGGAAAAAAAGGTACATTTCAACCAGATTTAAATACACCACTGAGTGCAGATGGTGAAAATGCTTTAGATGGTTCTCAATCGGTTTGACTAGAGGTTCATTTGGAAAGGTATCAACTTCGCTTTTGCACTTCATGATTATTCAAGAATATTCCTTGAAAAGAAAATATATCTTATAGTGAAATGCATATGTATATTTGTACTGAATATAAAGAAAACTCATATCTATATAAAATGACAAACAGAAATTTTATAAGGAATCAATCTGAGTGTAGCAAAGAACAGGTCTCACTGAAAACATAACACATAAATCTTAGCAATGTACACTGTTCTCCTCTCCTTGTTGCCTCTCCTTCATTTGCACTGACCCAGTGTAGCATTAGACAGGTGAAAGCTCAACCCAGTGTCAGGTGTACACCATTTTGTCTTGCACTCCAAACCTCATATATTTCAAAATCTGAACGAGAGGAGGCAAGAGGAGGAAAGGACTGCATACATCCAGTGTTCAACAGTCAGCAGGGTACCGATTGCCTCGCTGCAGCCTTTTCTCTCCCACACCCGGTTTCGAGTGTGCTGTGAACTCTCTCTCATCCTTCAAATAAACATTACACAGTGTTTTACAGAAGCAAACTATCATCAGTGGAAAGCTTGAACTCTCACCTGCCTACCACAGCAAACGCAACACATACACGTCTTACATTCAGAGACCGTACTTCAATTGAAACCACTCACTGTATTCTGTGAATACCTCAGCAAGCATATTACTGTTTTATTGTAAATGATAGATAGATAGATAGATAGATAGATAGATAGATAGATAGATAGATAGATAGATAGATAGATAGATAGATAGATAGATAGCAAACCACAACTGTTTGATACTCAGCGAATATCAATTGCAGAACTGACACTGTGTAAGATGGAGAGAGTAAAAAGCTGTGAACTGATTACTTTGACATTTATCATACTCATACTGCTGAAGCGCACCTGTTCCTGTTCACTGTTTTATTTGTTGTGTTTTCTGTCGCATGCAATAAGCAACAGTGGGGGGTGGGGGGTGGGGATGGGCGAGGGAGAAGAAAAGAAAAGGACACCGCCAAATCATTATTTTTATCTGAGGGATGTCTCCATGAGAAGAGATTTTTGTATTTTCTGTTCAAATGTCAAGTTCAATAGTGTGTTCTATAGATGTACAAACTGTCTGGCTAATTCTGTTCTGTATAGTCGTGATCACAAACAGGGGTTTATCTTGTACTGTATATCTACTCACTGGACAATCATAGGTTATTAGAGACTGTAAAGAAAATTATCTAGAATCTGCTGGGCGGGAGAAATCTGAACACTTTTGGTGCTGGGTCCTAGTCCTGGTGGAGCTGTGGAAGTGAGAGAAATATTTTCCAGGAGAAACTGCTGATTATGTTTAAAGTGCATATGTGTACACGCCAGTTTCAATACAATGTACAAATAAAGAGTAAGCAAGGAAAAACATGAATTCGTAAATACAAAAAACTAGTTTGGATGTGCCACCATCTACTTTTGACTAATAGCTAAATATTTTGTTTCCCACTAATATTATTACTGAATAACTGAAATAAAATCATTTGTAGGGCTGTAACAGTATTACATGAAAAATGCAACGTGACTGTGAATTGCCATGTGAAATTCTCCAAACACTCAGTATTTGACCAGTTAAGTATTTGGCCTTTAGTTTAGTTTGTGATTTTTCCGTACTGTACCTGGCACTGACGCCTTAAAGGTATTCCAAGACTGTTTCTTTTATTTGCAAGGAGTGGACAGAGGGGTTGACACATTTTGTAAGAAAGAGAAACTCTTGAGGTTGCCATGCAGACTCTAGTTTAACACTCTTTTCGCCCTCTAAAACCTAAGTCCTCAGCAGCTTGGGAATACAACAAAACAAGAATCTGTAACCTTTATGGATTTTTTTTTCAATCTGTTTCCAATATCTGCACGCAAGGGGAAGTTTGATGACAACCACTTGATATTTTTATTCAGAAGTGTACAGTATGGAATAACACTAAACAGACTTTTAAAAAAAAAGTGACATAGAGGAGAAAAAATAAACACTGAAAACAAACTGTAAGTATTTAAAAGATGCTCCATGCTTAAAACTAGCTAGGACTTATCAGATTTGAATCACTTTTGTATTTTTGTATAAAAATGTAAATAAGTTTTTAAAGAAAAAAAATGTTGCAAATTCTTTCTTTTGTAAAATAAACAAATAAAAAAATTAAAAACAAAGAAAGTTTTTTTTTTCAAAGTTTACATGACTATTTCCAAGCCTTTGTATATTATGGAGCTGTGCAACACCTTCAGTCTTGTATTTATTTTGGGGGGCTTGGGGGTCGGGAGGTGGTTACAACATTGTGAAAATTCCATTACTCTATATCTAATTCATTTTAACAGCTCATCAGGCTGCTTAGTAACTGTGCGTAGAAAAAAAGCCAATAAATGTGATTGCAATGAAATGAAAGGCCTATTGTGTGACACTTCATTTCATCCCCATCAGATCCAAAAGCACTGACAGACTCTTCCCACTAGATGGTAGTGTTTTAACGTTCAGGCTCCTAGCTGCTATTCAGATTTTTCATGAGAAGGACCCAGCATTAACTAACTTTCCTTCACTATGGTTGGACCTCATGCTTGAATCCAGTCGTACTAAATTAGGTACTGATACTTAGACAGTCTTCATTTTAAAATGTAAGGAGTAAAAAAAAGAAAAGAAAGAAAAGAAACATTGCCATATCTGTTCTGACCAGTAAACCTGACCACACTTTCCATACAACAGATCTTGAATATTTAGTTACTAACCCAATGCAATAAACCGGCAGTCTCAGTCTCGAGTCTGCAAATGACTATTAACACAGCCATGAAGAAAAATATTAAATTTTTAATAAGAATCTTAGACTAAAGGTGATGTACACAAGCTGAGATCATTTAATCAAAATTTGCACTTGTTCAAAAGATTTTGAAAGAGTAACTTAATACATTTACTGTATTTTTCGTTTGTTTGCTGGTTTGTTTTTCGGGGTATATAATTCTACATTGCCACATCTCAAAATCTACCAGTTGTTGCCTACTGTCCATATTTACAGTGTCTCTGGTTATAAAGAAATACATGCATTATGTTATTTTATTTATCTGTTTTAAAAAGCTTTTATTTTCTCCAGGGTTTTTTTTTTTGTTTGTCTTCTATCCTTGGTCCACAAACAGCCTGCTAATTATTGAATAAATAATTAATATCTTATCTCTCTCTCACTCAGACTCCATATATTACCCCTTTTCAGTCCCTCCAGCTGCTGTCCTCCTTTCACATTTATGAAGCCGTTAATAACTAATCGTGATGTCTTTATGTAGCTATGGTTACGATAGCTTAGCTATCTGACAACTACAAAGAAAGTTTGAAAAAACAAACTGTGGCCTTGGAAGGGGTATTACCACCTTTATATATTTACAATTACTGTTTCAAAGGTAAATATTATAGTTTTACTTTCACAACGAGTTATAGTTGCTTCTAAATCTCATACTACATCACATTTTGTCAGTGAGTGCAGTGTGAACTGAACTTTCTCTTAGAGGACCCAAGTCCCAAACAGCTCTTTGTTTACATATCTTGAAGCTAGCTGTTAGCCTCTAAAGTTAGCTAATGGTTAACTACCCATGTGCTCCTTCCTAACCAACCCCCGCTGTTACGTTATGTACTTAACAATTTTCCCTTTACACAAAAAAATAAATGAAATAAGATGATTTAAACTAAAAAAAACCCCAAAAACTACCAGTATTGACGAGAACTATACACTGACACTGACTACTTCAGCCCAACTGAATTAGACGGTAACGTAAAAAAATAAATACATACATAAAAACACTCGGTATAATTAATGTTATCAGTCTGATTTATGAATGTTACGTGATTACTAACACGCAAAACAGACACGTCACCTGTCGGGCGCTGTTTGGTTCGATTTGAGTGTAGGAACACTCGACGTCGTCAGGACTTAAGCATTCCCATTTTAGCGACCGTGTTCAGCATATGAGTGTATTTCTGTTTTCAGTTTCCAGCAGCGATGTGAATTGAATGTGACTAATTCAATTGGCACTAAATAAAGAAAAATTGAAGTGTTACTGAAAATTTTGAAGTCAATTTATTTGAGTACACACTGTTCATATTTATGATCTCTGTAATTATGAAACCTATTACATTTATCTTCAGTGAATTATTTGCCCCAAGCCAAGGACATTTGTTTTGTTTTATTTTTAAAACCTTGCTCCACAAATAGCCTGCATATCTGTTTGATTCACTTTAGGGAGCAAAGTGCTCTCTGAGGGCAGTAATTTAGCTCTATTGCTCATTTTAAACCGTTGTTACTTCATATTAAATATATTGGCTGATTTCCCCAGATAGTCATGAGAAGAATATGATGTGTGTGTGTTTTTGTTTTTAAAGATTGTTTCTCACATAAATAACTGTGAATGTGAGACTGTAGCCTCCATAGTGGGTCATTGGACTCTGAGCACACAACCAGGAAGCAGCACGACTCCTAAAGAAAGAGTACTGCTGTTGAGCTATTTGAATTTCTTGATCTTTTTAACAATAACTCTTATTGAACTGTCACTTTGCCTAAACGAGACATCCATGACCATTTGACCCTTAAATCACACTGCTTGCTAGAAAGACACATAAACACAACCAACCAAACCTAAAAATGTTTCCATGCTGTTTGGTGTTTTCAGTTATGGATTATTTTCTGTCTCTTTATTCCCCACATTTTTATTGCAGGAAGCAGCTGAACTTACTTGGCCATTGGTTGAAAATATGAAGGCCAGAACATGCTGCAGTTCCACATGAGGAAAGTGCAGGGCTGCAGGATGATTAACAAGATGGGAGCAGGAAAATGCTGATATCCTACACAACAATTAAAAAATGTTGCTTTTCCTGATGAATTATTGACTTCGTCTTCTATGCAAAGTGATTCAGAAAACAAAACTAAAGATCTCTTGGAACTGCTGGTCGGGAACCACCAAACTAGAAGATTTAATAAACCTGTGCTTGTAGCTGCCCTGCAGGCCTTGTGCTCGGACCTCAAACACTAAGATGATGTAAACAAATGTTTAATCGTGTGAATACATATCAAACATATTTAACAAACATCTTTTGTTGAACATACAGTAAAAAGTCGTGTATATATCTATATATATATATATACATATGAAATGCTGCAAAGCGAGATGACAAGGCATAGAAAATATACATGGTTGTTGTGCAGTCCCTCTATGCTTTAGCAATGAACACAAAATTCTAATGATGTAAAACATCTAAGAAGAAACAAACCTTACTAAAAACCTGAGTTTCACATTAAAGCAAGAACGGTTTCAAGTATCAACTTGTTACCACTACAGGAGAGCAACAGTGTGAAATGCAGCTACAAAAGACATGATTTGGTTCGAAAATTGTTCTGAAATGTTCAGAAAATGAGGATTTCTGCCATCAGTAACAGATAAATACTTTGAGACTTGTGAATAATTACTCAGACACAATATCTTCCCGTACGTAGTTATTTGACAGTGCACACACACACACACACAGGAAAAAATAAAAAACAACAACAAAAACTGTCAGGCAGAAAGAAATGATTACACTTACGCTTGATACACTTTGTTACAGTACAAAAATCATATTTTAAAAATCAACTTTTTAGCTCAACTTTATACAAAACAGTTTCTCCATCTTGTGCTCCACCAGGAAAGAGCACTTTTGACTTCCTGTACAGCGCTCAAGCTTGACCTGCTTGCATTTCTATGCCAAAACACTTACAGCCTTCCAGTCATTGTATGTCTTTTGTGTATTTAATGGGTTTGACTGTCCAAGCATAATACAATCATATAAACACATCAGTGTTCAAGCTGAGACTAACTAGCTTGAATGTCCTGCCGCATACTGACAAACACAAATGAGAGAGAACTAACTCCTCGGTAACCGTTTCGTCTTAATCTACAGCCTGCGCTGTAAAAAATGAGAGTCATCATTTAAATAGGAAGTGTACCCGCTCTGCAAAAATGATATTGTTACCTAAAAGATTATAAATGAGGTGTTTAATGACTTCAGAAAACTGGGCTTCTCCAATATTTCCACGTTAATTTACATAAACTAACTGGGGCGCCCCTGTTGATCAGTACCCATCAATAATGCTCATGTCTTCCTACATTCACTACTGGCATGCACAAAACTAAACCCGACAGTCTGTAAGAGATGCAGTCATTCAGAAGCTTTTATTGCCTTGTTAGAAATTACGCAGCGAGACGTTCACTGCCAGTACCTGAACTAACCTTCCACGTCTTTTGTGCAGAGCAGCCACCCTGAAAACCTGACCAGGGAAAGGAAAAAAAATAAGCCAGACAGTAAATAATAAAATAAAATAAAAACAAAACCTATAGTGTACATCAGTGTGTATCTGTAGAGGTAAGTTAATAAAGACTGACAAATTATGGCATCCAGTTATTCAAAATAAGGCAAAAAGGACATAAACATAAACACAATGACCTATGATCAGATATCTGACACTAATTACAGCTATGTAAATGTTGACTTCATGTACTAAGATTAACTTCATGTACTTTAAACAGATGTCTGTCATTTAAAGAAGACGCCAATTTCAAGTTAAACAGTCCACTGGGGGAGTTTCACTACGATTCAGAATTGCTTAGTTTTTTTTATCATTTTTCCTTTAAGTGTTTAGACTTCTGCTAAAAATTTCCCCCAAATTCACAGCCGCTCAAACGCTGCTTCAAAGTGTTTTCCACAAATCCTGAAGTTCTGACGGTGAAATCCTCGGCACTTCCATTTTTCAGGTTTCTAAAAACGCCTCAGAATTCACAAGACGTAAGGCTAACATGATCTCAGTGTCCTCGTTAGTAGCTACAACCGTGGCTCCTGTGGACTCCACTGCATCCTATCACTGCAGAATAATGCTTGTTTGTGTGTGTTTGGTTGACAGTGATCAACATCCTCTACTGCTTGGTCTGCTTCAGCTTCTCGATGTGATGACAGAGCTTTAGCGCAGGGCCCAGCTTCAGACCCATGTACTTCATAATGACGTCACTGCGCAGCAGCATCAGTGCCTTCCCATCAATCTCCTGTAGGGATAAGAGGATGTTTTCAGCTTGGTACGTACTTCATACTTTCTCTAAAACCATCTAATAAAAATGTAAATGACTTTAACCAGACAACTTCCTGTAGCACAGCAAAGTAACGTATTGTGTATACTACTGTAGACCACAAGAAGAAGATTAGAGGTCGTCTTCGTCCATAATGTATGTTACTTAACATTTCAGTGCATGGCCGTTTGTTGAATTATAATAAAATGAATTTTTATAAAAAAGAGTGAGGTTAATTTAAATGAAATACTCACGTGTTTCCTGAACAGTTCCACATGCGGCCCGAGAGTGTGGGGATCGGCTTCTTGGACAAACCGTATGACATCATCAACCGACCAGGAGGAAGCGCTGTTTCCGGAAGCATCTTTGTCCTGTTTCATGTGGTCTGGACCTGTTGTTGAGCTAGCTGCTGCGAAGTATGAGGGCAAAAGGAAGGAAAAACAAATGAAGAATTATCAGAAAGGAAAGAAATGATCCCTGCAATAATTTGATGTTAGGGTGAGCTGTTAACACGGCCTTGATATTTGTCTCAAAATTTGTAAAAAAAAAATAAAAATAAAAATTGGGTTCACAATAAAAGTAAAAGGAGAAACAAAACCCACGAGGCGAATATTTGTCTGTGTAGTGGTTAAAGAAAAACCTGGTGTGTCTGTGACTGTGTGTAATTAATCCTACCCTCCACTCGTCTGTGTGCACACACTGGGCCAGGTTCAGTGGGGTTGGAGCTGACTCGTCGGAGAGGCGGCGGCGTCTGTGCGTGTCCAGGGTAATACGGACGCTCCCTCTTGGCTGCTCTGTAGTCTGGCGTGTTGTGAAGAGGGCGGGGGCTCGGAGTGGGATCCTTAGAGGGATCGTTGTTAGGCAGGCCGTTCTCAGCAACACACAGTGGTTCTGTTTCAATAAAGAAAGAGGAGGAGATTAAGACTTCATGAGTGCAAGAAGAAAACTGGGGGGAAAACATGTCGAAAACTTTACACTACAACACACCACACTCCATCAAAGCTTGTAATAAATTTGAAAGCTTAAAAGCTCACAACCTTTAATCTTTCTCTTAAAAAAAAAAAGAAATTAAAGCTCGTCACTTTTACAGTCAGTACATGCACACATTTCCCCCACCTGACTTGGCCCTATTGTAGAAGCGAGTGTTGTTGCTGTAGGGGCTGAAAGGCTGCGAGCTGAAGAGACTGTCACTCTCCAGATGTTGGCACATGTTCTCCAGGAACCGCAGCACAGAAGAAGCACTGGAGGCAGAGGGCAGCTTCACATAGCGGATACCATGCTCTGACCGCACTGGAGGCAAAACATGGCAGCTATTAGTTTGCATCTGAGTGTGCGCGCGCACACACACACACCACACAATATGCATTCACAGCTAAAGAAAACAGCAGATGGTTTTGGGTTAGCAGCACTCTCCATTTATAAACCTGCATATTTCACCCCATCCCACACGGCACAACACCCTCCCATCCAAGCCAAGCCTGCACAAATCCACAAATTAAAACCCCTCTCCCCACCCAACCTCTCCCATAGCCTTCCCGATCCGACCCCCCGAGGGAGACTCAATCCCAGAATCCCAAACCAGGTTAGACACACATGTCACTTCTTATTACAGACACAGTGCTCACATCAGCTGCTGCCACAGGCACCATCTTTTATTCCACCTCTCTCCTGCCTCTCTCACACACACACACACACACACACACACACAGTACATTCACATGTGTTTAAACCAACTTCACTGGGCTGATTGCCCATCTAGGACACATAGTGTTGGAAACCCGACATTTTTTGTCACTTTTTGTAACAATTACAGACAAAGAACAAAGCATTTTACTCAAATACATGTTAGATGTGTCATCAACCTTCATTGATATAGATTATTAGATATTATATTGTTCACATATTATTCCATGGTGTTCTCCTGATTTACCTCTAATGACTTCTCCTCCTGTATGGGACTGGCTCTGCAGAAATGACAGCAGTACAGAGGGCTGGTATGTGCAGTCGACGCAGGCCTGAACAGCCTGCTGAAGCACTGCGTTGACTGGAGCTGGACCGAAGTGGTCTGGGAGTTGCTGCACCAGTTTTCGATCAAGATGCGGGCCGTAGTCACCGTGCTTGTTCACGTAGACGCACACTGAGATGGCACAAATACAGGAGACATTTGCAAAGAACACAAAAGAATTAGACTAAAAAAAAAACTGATAGCAGAATACAAATTTTAACTGGAGTTTGATCGAGGTTGTTGGAGTTAATAAAACTTAAATCGACAATTTATATATAGACTTTAATTTAAAACAGATACATTCATTTACACTCCGTAGCACATTATGATTGGCATGTTTTGACAATCTGCAGTCTCTCGTGTACACAATCCTTGATTTAGTCATTTGTAGGAACCCATTTGAGTATTCTTGGTTAAAGCTCTACACGTACAAACTGCAGACAGACATGCCCCAAAGCTGCTTTAGCATTGCATTAGTTGAAGGCTCAAGGGCATTGTAATCCTGAAAAGTGAACCACTGATTCACTCTGTTTTTTCCAAGAATTTCTCTGTATTTGGTTGGATTTTCCTTCCCTTAGTTCCATAGTCCCCTCTTAGCATGCTGAAGCATGCTTCCTCTGAAGGGATGCTAACCAGATTAACCAGGTGATGAGTAATGGCTATGGTTTGTAGAAACAGAGAAGAGGTTTTTGGCAAAACTTCATAATATTCAAGGTGCATGGCGAAGGAGCATAAAGTCTGAAGTGGTTCTGTTGTATAAAGAACAACGTGACTACCTTCATCAGGGCCAAATAATTTTTCCATTGGTGCCTCATCAGAGAATACTCTTCCTCTTACTTACATCTTCCTCTTCTTTGTTATGTCCTTTTAGTGCCATTTGGTCCAACTTAAAAAATCACGAGAATAGATAATTCATGCTACAATCCATCAAAACCCCAACATACTCTAATCTCTGTAAACAGAGTAAATGTAATCAGTTCTGCTCATTTCAAGCTTCTTCCATTTCGCACAAAAAAGGTTAGACCCATTTCGGGTTTCTGTTAGAAGTCACAATTTCATCTAATTCATGTTAACGTCTACCAAAATAAAGCACACAAAATCATTTGATCAACTTCCCTATAAATATTTAGTATTGAGGCATTAAAATCTTTTTTGGTTTGGGTTTTTTTTTTTTACCTGTGCAAACTACATTTGTGCTGTTGTTAAGGTTGTTGTTGTCCGCTGAGACGTGGCTGATACTCAATCTGGTCTCTGGAGGTGGAGCTGTAACTGATGACGCCCCCAGGGACTGTACCACCCGAGGCTTCTTCTGAACCAAAAAACAAACAAAGCCTTTCTCAGTAAATCTCAGTAACCTACAAAGGCTGTTAGATAACCATTTATTAACTGTCTCTTTTAACTCTTCTTCACATGGATGGCACTGCATACAGTGGCTTTTAAAGTAAGGACATTTTTACTTATACTTTCTTTCTTTTTTTTTTATCAGTAATCAACTTTTGACTATTTTCTCTTTCTCTAAACCATTTCTGACATGGCAGAGTCACTGGCCAAGAGACTGTGGCTCTGGTGACATCTCACCTTGTTCTTAGGCTTAGGTCCTCTCTTCTTGTGTGGTCTGGGGGCCAGTTGAGTCTCAGTGCTAGTTCTGGCCGGGCTTTGTGACGCTCCATTTACCGCTGCTGCTGCTGCAGCTTCTGCCGCCGCTTTCAATAAAGCGATAGTCTGGGATTTGGGACGACGACCGCGGACACCCTTGCGTACAGGGAGGGGAGGCAAGGGGTTGGGCAGTCGGTACGAGGTCTGCATGGAGGAGGAGTTAAAAGACGAGCGACGTGTAGATGAGGTGGAAGAAACAGGGGCAAGCAGGGCACCAGGGAGGGTAACTGGAATCAAAGAGGATATGGAGAGACAGAATAAGTACATGGAAAAGATCTGAGAGATATAAGAAATCAAGATACTTCTCATTACTAAAAAGATGACATTCTTGGGCTGCAATTAGCTGCATCTCTTTCAGTTAACTTTTAACCCCGTAAAGCCTGAAACATGAAATAATTACTAGAATATTCTAACTTCTTAAAATTGTGTTTATTGAACCTTCTGACCTTTGAAAAAAATGAAGTGAAATATTAATCAGCATATGTGACTTTTTGTGCACATTTTTGTGCAATTCATTGCTTACAGTAGTTCATGTCTCTTATTGGATGCGTCAGGTTTTTTAAGGGAAAAGAAAAAAAATCACACTGATGATGTAGAGGTGTCAAAAACTCATGTATCAGATGAGCTCCGTTTGGAATTACAAGGTTAACAAAGTCATCTTTATTCAGATTACTTGTGGAAAAAAAGGAAAAGCATCAAATAAGAAGCTAGAACCAGCAGATTTACGGATTTTTGTTTGTTGCTTAATTAAAATGATTATTTAATTATCAAAATATTTGCAGATTGGCTTTTATTCAGCTGGCCAGCTAATTATTCAATAACTGATGGTGCTTTACACACAGCGGCGCCCTAATCATATTTACTCTCCACCCATACAGAGGCTTTAAATTAAGACGTGCAGAGAATCCACTTTGCTGTAGGTCGTTGAGCCAAAGCGTGGAAAGCAAAAGTTAAAAGAAACACAAAAGCCGCGGGAAATGAATAACTGAGTCCTGCAGAGGAGATTTGTTTTGATTTTTCAGAGTCCCCTGGGATTGACAGGTCCTTTGTCTTCGGCTCCTCCCCGTTCTGAAATCAAAGTCAAAAGTCACGAGTCCCCAGAGAACCGCTTTGAGTTTCCATTTTCATTTCAGTTTCACTTTTCAAACAAACAGAGAATTGTATGATTCTTTGTTATTTTGTGAGTTGGGACCATAATGTTTTGGCTACTTTCTCAAAGAAAGAAAAAAACAAACAAAAATAACAAACGCAACGATACATCTAACCTATAACTGAAATATTAACCTTAGGGGAAAAATAATTAGCAAAGAATACTATATTAATAAAAATAAGACATATATAAATATACAGTTGTAATGTTTAAGGTTTTCAATGGCATTTCTTATTACTTAATGATGTTGTCAGATGTTGAGTAAACTGTAAAAACTAGTCACTGACATCAGTATTGTCAAATGTTAGCGCTGCACACAGACTGACATCCAGCAGTGTGGGATAAGCTGGGGTCACATATACATGCTTCCCCAGGACAGAGACTCATGATCTGTCCTTCATCCCTTAAGTCAAAATAAAAGACTCCACCTCCTCCAACCCAAAACATATGATAAAGATATGTTGAAAAACAATCTTAACAACTCACATACAATTTCCAACTTAAAACGCTTTACTTGAATATACCCGAAGGAAATAACAGGTACTTTAAATTCCAATCAGCAGGTGTTAAAATAGTAATAAAGTGACAAGGAAGTGAGAGGAAAGGTAACAGCCCCTGGTACACAAAAATATGACTATGCAGTGGCACCAGCAGCCCTTTTTCATTTTTCATTAGCCTCAGCATGACACTGTGATAAAATCATATAATTATCAGAGTAAATGTGTGAAAGAAATGTAGCCAGATAACACAAAAAGAAAGAAAGAAAGAAAGAAAGAAAGAAAGAAAGAAAGAAAGAAAGAAAGAAAGAAAGAACGAACATCCGCTATTTCAATACAAATGTATAGCTTAGTGAGAGCAGGGGCTTGAGAGTGCATGTTAAAGCTCTCAAGGGGCAAAAGCTTTCATTAGAGCCCTTCACTGAAGCAATATGGAGCGACTATGGAAGGTCTACGGTATTCTCTGAGGGGCCAGTCTGGGCGCCCTGAAAGCTGCTTAATTGGGAAATGACTGAAAGTGGGCGTAGAAGAGAGCAGTGTCTTATTTCAGGGGGCGAAGGCTCACTTGCTCACCAGGAGCGGTCACACAAAGCGAACTCAGAGAGCGGCGGCGATGCCAACCTGCACGCACAGCGGTACGCTCATTCACACTGAACTCAGAGTATAAACCCTACAAAGGCAGATCAAAATATCTTTGCAGGGTACCAGTCAGTATCAGCGGGTTTAATTCACCGTAGGGAATCTCGGTTGGGGCTCTTCTCTTATCTTTCCCCGCTGCAAAAAAACATAATCCGGTCACATATGTGACAGCTACCGACGCCATACGTAACATTTCCACACTAGTGATTCATGTCATATCCTAACACATACTGGTTTTGTTGTCACATTAAAAAAGTGATTGAGCTTTTCAAAAAAAAAAAAAAAAAATCTGCTTATGAAGTACTTTCATTTAATGCTGTCACTGTGGCAGTATCGCATCATATTGGCTGTCTCAGCCTGCTCCAGCTGCACGGTGAAGCTATATGTTTACACTGAGCAAAGCTAACCCGATACCCTCACACTGAAGGTCATTTCACACCCTGTGGATTTGAAGTTTCACTGCACAGACTTAATGATGCTTCAAATTTAGGAGGCTGCATGTAAAAAAGGCTTAAACAGTAACTGCTGTATGTCCACATGTGAAGACAATTCAGTGCTGTACTGGGAAGCTGTGGGTCCCCGCCTTTATTCGGATTTAACTTTGACTCGAGCAACTCACGTAAAATCAGCAAGGAGTCAACAGATTACGATAATTAGCCCAAGTTATTCACCTAGCCCCAAAATCTCCCAGCTCAAAAGCCCAACCCACAAAACTCAGACGACTCAATGAGCCAAACTACAAACACTACAGGACACCACCAGAGGTCAGAGCTGTTTGGGTGATCCACACAATATTAGGCACGTGATCTTGAGGCTAATCTGTGCTGTTAATGCATCACAAATAAACAATCTATCAGATGTGTCTGTAACAAAGCCCTGTTCCTAGATCCAACAATCACATTATAGCCACTAATCGCACATAATCACATCTCCTGCATTACACCAGTTCTTTAAATATCTGCATAGCAATTAAAAAAAAAATCAGTGTACTTTTTCATGTGCAATCAAAATCCCTTTATCTGGGTTTGTGTACATGTTGTAAGTGTGTAGATTTGTATATTTTCTCAAATTCATTCCAAAAAGAGACAAGAAGATTTTCATAATATAGTTCCCTATTTAGTGGTCTCATAGTGGGCATGTGCAAGGGTAAAATTATACTGTTAGTTGAGTTTTACACCTTAGCCAGTGATGCAAAGCAACACAAAGCGTAATACAAGAAGTAGTGTCACGGGTTAAATATGTAAAATAGCACTTTTTTTCATTTGTTTTAATGAGTAAGTGTATGAATACATTGAAAAACCTGCGACTGGTAAAAGTCTGGTTATTCTAAGGTGACAAATCTTAATGAGACAAGGAAAAACCTTTTTTTAATTTGTTGTTTTGGGTTTTCTTTGTATTGTTTCTGTATTGTAGGAAAATCAGTAAATAATAAATACAAAAAAAGGCAGGGACAAAAAAAGCAGCGTGGCTTGCACAATGGCTAAAAGGGATTTAAAAATAAGACCAATAATAATTTTGGTTAAAAAAACAAAGGCAAAACATCAATTTCAACAAACAGGAACAATAACAACAAGCAAAAATAAATAATCCCAAGTTTTCCAAAAGAAAAAAGCAACAATTCTTTTTAAGATGTCTGAGCAACACATGACTAGCATGTATACAGTGTAACCAAACCGAGCCATATGGTACTGATCATGGCTATATAAGTCCAGCTCGACCCACTGACCTGTGTAAGAAACCGCCTGAGGAAACACGCGTGTATGGCGAGAGTGTGTGTGTGTGTGTGCGTTCGTGCACGCATTAGAACGGCATCACGGAGCGAGAAGTGTGTCTGCTGTCTGGGGGGTGGGGGAAGGGGCCCCACAGAGTTCCCTCTCATCTAATTACAACACAGACACACACACACTTACATGTAGAGCACGCTCAAAGCAAACAGTCCATTCACACACGCACACACACACACACACACTTACAGGCTTTTCCTTTGAGTGAATTTATTGCAGTGTAAAACTCATCGGCTGCAGATTTAACTGTGATACTGTGTGTAGAAAGCAGAAGGGGAAGTTGGTTGTGTGTGTGTGTGTGTGTGTGTGTATAGTCCCAGAGTCTTTGTCCACACACACACAAAGTCTTCATCTTCAAAACACACAATATAAAACAATAAAATGAACCGACTGCATGATTACAAAAGTCAAAGACAAGTGCACATATAACAGATCTGATGTGCACTAATCGTTCCCGGAGCCTTCTGCAAACGAAATCCTGATGCCTCGCACACAGAAAGACATGATCAAAAACACATGGAGCTCTAAACTTAATTACAGCCAACAATACTCTTAAATCCTCAGACTCTTAGTCAGTCTGTCTGGCAGCAGTCACTGGTCTCTAACAATGAATGTGAATGAATGCAAAAAGACTCAAAAAGTCATCAAGCTAAACAAAGAAAGCAGCTTGAACCCCTCACACCAAACAAGTCCTCTACACTTGTGAAACAACTTTTCTGTGAAATGTAGGATCACTTTTCACTTCCTTTTTTTTTTAGCTTTCGATACAGCAACACCATAAAGGAAATCGGGAGTTTTCTAGTAAACTACACAATCATTTCAATTATATTAACAAGAAATTATATGAACGCACTTCTACTACCACTACTTCCTGTTTTGAGGAAATTCATGATTGTGTCCAGCATTGTTAATTTGTTAGATTCTCAGACATGTTTCAGTTAGAAAACAGCAGATTTGTAAAACACAGTGAAGCACAGCCCACTCAGAAACATGTTACTGCTCCAAAATCAGACAGCAGATCACTATGTGTGTGAAACTGCAGCTCCCATCAACCTCACAAGAAGTTTTTCTTTCATTTGCACAAGTGCAAAAAGAATATTAACTTGATAAACAAAGGCGACTCACCAGGAAATCCTCGGCAGGGAAACGAAGAGCTT